GGAAGCCGGAGTGGCCAGAGAGAACCCACGCTGACATGGGGAGAACATGCAAACTCTGCACAGAAGGGTTCCCACACCCGGGATCGAACCGGCAACCCTCTTGCTGTGAGGCGACAGTGCTAACCACCATACCACCGTGCCGCCCCCCTCTGGTAGTTTCTTTTTGTATTTATTTCCTTTTCTTTTCTTTTTTCTTTTTATCAAATATATTTTGAAGAATATGTGTAATGTAATGTCCTTTTTCTATATGTTAAAAACAATAAAATTTCAAGTTAAAAAAAAAACAGAGTCTTCTGAGTCTTCAGAGTCCTCAGAGTCTCACAGTCTCAGAGTCCCCAGAGTCTTCAGAGTCTTCAGAGTCCCCAGAGTCCTCGGAGTCTTCAGTCCTCAGAGTCTCACAGTCTCAGAGTAATATCATGACAGGAACAAACAAGATGGCGGCACCGAATGACGGCAGGTTCACTGCTCTGAGAGAGTTTGGAGAAACCGAAAAAAATATGGACGATATCAATGAAAGTATTCAAGAATCGATAGCTGATGCAGTTACCAAGACAGTTGCTGACAGAACGAGTGCTTTGGCTGACGGATTGAGTAAGAAGAAGCCGATTACGTGCGGCGCTCACAACACAAGGCAGTCAGCATCAAAGGAGGTTGCTGTTAAGGACCTGAGTGTGGGCGACTTAATTAAAGAAATCTTCCCGAAAGTTATAGTTGCGCTGACTCCTTTAATAAGTTCCGTAGTGACGGCGGCTGTAAATGAATCTACTAAACTCTTGCTCCAAGAGTGGGTAAAACACATGGACATGATCAGAAGAGGACAAGAGTCAGCTGTGAAAGCAGCATCCAAAGCTGCGATGGAGATAAGTAAATTGAAGTTTAAGTGTGACAAAGCTGAGCAAACTCGCAAGACAAACATTATCATTAGAGGAATCCCGTTAACAAATGGTGAGAACACAAAGAAAGTAGTAGTTGATCTGGCAGCCGAGATGGGAGTGGAGATGAAAGAGCAGGACATCAGCGTAAGCTACCGTTTGCCAGGGAAACGTGGAAGAGTGCATGAGGCTGAAGATCAACACCGCAGCAGAAACATTTTCGTCAAGTTTGTCAGGTATGAAACCAAACTTCAAATTATGAGAAACAAAAAACGTCTAAGGAGTATTGATGGGAAAAACAGAGTTTTTTTTGAGGAAGACCTTACGTCTTTGAGAGGAAAGATCCTGAGACAAGTGAGGATGGATCCAGAGATTAAAAGAGCCTGGACAATGGACGGTAACATCTGTTGCATCATTAAGGACAACAATCATGAGGTGAAGAAAACCATCTACTCCGGTGATGAGCTAATGTCCAAACTGGGATGGTCTGCAGAAAAAGCCCAAAGTGTCAGGATTTATGTAGACTTCCCCTAGGCTAGCGCTGACCCCTCACTACATGCAACTTGTATCAAGGATGTAACT